AAAAAGTTCATACATACATGTACCATGGTTATCACTATTTGTGGAATGTAGGATAATCAACCTGTTCAGTTACTAAAGGAGTTAGTAACCATGTCCTACCATTGTCAATTTAAAAATAAATGGTGGTTCAGTACTTTGATTTTTTTTATTTTGCTGTCACACATTAGAGTAAGAAACAAAATAGGCTTCAACCTCAACACCATGTCACACCAGTATATGTATGTTGAAATTTTTTTCATTTTTTTTTTCAAAAAAGAAAAACGGCCTGGTGTTAGTGATGTTCGTCTGTTGGACAGAAAGCCAGCTGAAAGACACATTGTTGTGTCATGGGAACAGAAAAACTCATGTATGTTACCTGACGATTTGAAACGATTCTATTTAACTACTGATGGAATGTTACTTCAATGGAATATCAAATTTGATGGTATGTATTAAAATATAAAAATATTTATACATGTAAACATCTAAACTTGAAATTATAAACCAATGTGTCGGTCATTATGTATGAAACCACCTGTTGTGACAAATTTTACGATTTCTCAATAGAACATGTGGGCCAGTTAGGTCGAATGGAAATCAATGCTATGTCAAATGTCGTCAAGTTAGGGGGCAATAATTCCTCGAGTAATACTCCATCATTGGTGGATATAGATTACGACACAGATGACGAAGATAGCGATGGTATTGTTGGTAAGTCAGCTCGACAATCAGATACCATTTGATCATTGAAGTCTGTTTCAGATGACATGATTCTGAGTTGCCATCTTGAATATTATTCTTTTCTTCAATAAATTTCTTAAATTTTAGTATCCAAGTTGCTCTACATAATTCCAATACACTGAAATCAACAAATCCAAATACACTGGGGTGTATAAACCCATGTTTATACATTTAAATATTCATAAATTCTATTCATGTTTTCAAATGAGTCTCATTCAAATTCAAAACAAGACAATTGGAGGCACCATTTTGGTGCTTGCAAATCAATCAGAGAGAAACTACCTAGGTCACTGCACATGCTTATAAAATGTGTATCGTAACTGCCATTATTAATTTAAAGTAGCTATGACTTTTATGCAATCTAGTCTCTGTATACCCATTAAATTTACAAATAGTTTAGACTTTTAAGCGCTGAAGATAAATTTTGTTAACTTTCACAAAATGCAGCCCAAATCGTTTTTTCTTTTTTCAGAAATTGTGTCCGTTTGATCAAAGATTGCAGAAAAATTGGGAAAATGTAGCTCAAAAATGTTGTTAAAATATTGTTCGTTTATACTACATGTAGTTGTGTTTTCTCAAGCTTTATTGTGGAGATCATCATAGGTTGTTGTGAACTCACTTATAGAAGTTACTATTATTTCAGATAATACTGCACCCACACCACATTTTGATACTCGTAGCCGTGTGTTTGAACTTGACCCATGCGAAGGTTACGGTAAAGTGTGCTTTGTGTACCGAGATACAAAACCAGGTAGGTATAATACTTGTTGTCCATGACAATTCAACATCTATGATTCAAAGTAGTTAGTGTTAGTGTTAGTGTTAGTGTGTCACTGACGCATATAGACTTTAGATTACGCAACCAAAAATAGTAATTTTTGAATTGTCATTGATGAAATAAAAAAATGGAGTTCTCAGAGGAAAACAATTTACTTACTCTAAAAATAAAAGTTTAGTAACATCAAAACATATTGGAATTGTGTAAATAAAGCATGAAATTTCATTAAAAATCACTAACCGATGAAACCCAACTACGATAGTACTTTTACCCCAGGTTGACAAATCAAACGTCAAAGGATGCTATGCAATGTGTTACCAGTATACTGCTATGCATTGTAGAAATTGATTCAAATATCCTTTTTTGTTCACAAAAATCACAAACCACAGTATGTTAGAGAGCACACTGGTTGGTTTCATTGTCAGTATTAATGGTCTTCATAAGCTGAAATGCTAGTTATTTGATGGCCCAATGTGTATATACTAAAGCACTATAATTGAGTATTATTTTGGCTAAACAATGTGTGAAAGAGTAAGCAGATGACACAAAAAGTTGGTTGGTAGTTCACCAACCTCAATCTCCTAGTTTAGAACATGATTATATATTACTACAGTCATTAAATGAATAAAATGGCAATGTTTTATGAATATTTTATATGCATTTCAGCAGTTGTAACAAAACATGCATAAAAATAATCAGCTCCTCCATTTCCTGGTAAAGTAAATAGTGTACTTGTAGAGATATGAAGGTTATCATGACTGATTGGGTAATCAGTAACACCTAGAACAATAACAGATTGAACACATGGTAGCATTATTTGGATATTTTTAAACCAAACTCTATGCATTAACACATAGCCTGCTGATGCACTAAAATATGTTCATGTCAGTCATCCAGTGTGTAGGTATACTGCCCTCATGTGGCTGGGTTCAACAATGTCATCTAAGTCTATTGTTCATTCAAAATACATATTAATAATAATATATTCAAGCTTCTTTCAACATCCTCGCCAACGACTCAGACAACTGTGCACATCACTGCTAATTTTTAGTCAGAATTTTAGAAAAAAATAAACAAAAATTTCATTATCATGAAAAATCTAAATGAAAGAACTACTTTAATGGCAGTTTAAAAATTAAAATTAAAAGCTTTGTACACATCGATTTTGAAAACAAGTTGACAAGTTTAGGGGCCTAAAAATGTCAGCATATTTTTATTGTGCTTATGAAAGGTCTGTGAAATTTTGTGTGAATTCTCTTCACAAAACCTATAAAATCTCAGGGACAACGTCAAAAGTTCAATGTAGGATAAAAAACTTAATTCCCTTAGTTTTTTCCCAAACCCCGCTACCCCCCACTGAAACTTAATTGATAAATATTGACCATGGCGTCAGACTACATTCACCATTAAATTCAAATTGATAATCCGACAGTAGTATGGCGTAGCAATTGGTTGTCGAGTGGGTGTAAAAAGGCTTTACACTCGGACCAAACCATTTTCTCATCTTGGATGTTTTTTTTTCATTTTCTGTTATTTTTGTCCATGATTGGATAGAGAAAAAAACGAATTACAAATACTCCAAGATTTTTTTGACTTCATTAAAAAATAAAATCGTTTTTGTAGGATAGAAACTTTTTGAGGTCAAACGCACCACCTCCCACCCCCCCACCCCCAAACTAAAGCAAATAAGTTTTTTATCCGACATCGATCTTTTGATGTCGCCCCTTACAGTATTGTTTGCTCACCATACAGGGTCACCAGCACAGCATCCAGAGATTTGGTTTTTAGATCGCTCCTTGCGATGGCATTACCTGGCGGACACATTTACCCAATATTTCAGACTAATGTTAATGCATCTAGGTCTACCACAGTGGCAGTATACATTCACAGATATTGGACTCAGTCCACAGGCAAAGGTAATCAGCTTAATGCAGTTGATCAATATTTTGGAAATTTTGATATCAATTTGTCAGAATCTTGTTGAAGATTTATGATAATGATGATACATGTGAAAATAATAATATTTGGATGACATAGATGCGGAATTTGTCATAACAAGCATCAGCCTCATCAATATTCATGACCTGATTACCATAATTTTAGAATCATTCAAATGAAATTTTCATATCACAGCGATACCATCACTCGAGTTGGTTTTCTCTATATACTGTTTGAGCACACACAGACTGATGGCGTTTAATGTGTATATTGCTACATTTATCTAAACGTCACAACTATACACTACTATATGTGCACCATGAGCATGTGATAATAACACTGTAAAGGTGGACATGCATCATTGTTTTGATTTGTTTAAACCATTTACTAGAACGTTCAATGTAGCACAGCTTATGTTGCCATGAGAAATAGATACCAGTATTAAAAACAATGATGATGTTGCAGTCACCATAAACTCCAGGAGTTTTCAAATCGGCATGCTTTCTGCATCCCTTTATGTCTAATATAGATCCGATGCAGCATCGATAATTTGTGTACAAAGACGTCTGTTTTCATGAAGTTTAAATCATGACTTATTTCATATTTCCCTTAGCAATGGTTTAACATGTATGCTCCAGTAAGACTGACAATGGATGGCGAGTTAGTTGAGCATAGAAGCAAAGAATGGCCCGATACAGACTCGGCACCGCCCTTGCCCGATGTGCCCATGAATAAATTAGATCTGGGGAAAGTGTTCAAAGGACGATTGGACAAGAAGTAAGTGTGGTTCCCATTATAAAGCATGGTTAATTGAAGCCAGCTAATGTTGGTACAAATAGATCGACAACTTATCTTGAAATAAGTCACAGTGTAATGATTCATCATGAAACAATTCACAGTACAGTTCATACGTCTTGTTGTGTGTTATTCATTAAATTTATTCTGCTACATTTGCTGTATTCAAAGCTGCGATGTTTTAGTTTTATTAGAACAATATACCAAACGTATCCTACTTGTTTAGCGATACACTGTCCCAAAAAAAAAGAGTTTGAAATAGCATGTAGTTAATGTTAATTTTATCCTGAACCACTTCAATCTCTTAATATATTGCAGCAGAGGTAGACTGGCCCAGCTGTGGTGATTTATTTTCAGTTAAAAAAAATGGAAAAAATAGTTTTGCAAAAGGTGGGGTGAACGCAAAACCACCACAGACTGGTCTTATTTGCAGCGAACCTGTTGCTATTATTTATTCATGATATGCAGTGACATCACTGAACGGATATAGAAAAGGAGTGGGGGCATGCACGCTGCATAATTAGGTAACATTGTGGGTTTTCTGTGCAGATCGCGCTTCACTGTAACCCAGGCGAGATAAAGCTACACGCAGGCTACTTCTCTCCATTAGAATAATTTGTACGGTATGTTATAAATAGTAATTCGTTTGTTATAATTGACGATCAAGAAACTTGAAGAAAAGTGAAGTCTTCAGGTACAAAGGTTTACTAGACATAGTTTAAAGGTCAAATTACTCTGATTGGACAACGTTCTTGCCTGTCATTCTGCTCATTAACATAAAAACTAGTATAAAAACACACTAGTTCCTGCTTTCACCACAGAGGGCATGGCAATAACGTCCAGTCTGTATGATTTCACGGTTACAGGGGATTTAACACCTCCATTTCGCTATTTTTTTAAATTTAAAAAGAAATAAATCGCCAAGTCTACAGCAGAGGATATGTAGCTAATAAGTTCTTTAGAGGAAATGACAGTGATTTTCAAGAAATTTAGTCAATCGATCGACCCTAAATACATATGGCTGTTGAGATCTCATTGAGAAAGATAGTCTTAACACTTGTTTCTTCCTCTTGAAAAGTGTTTTATTCTTCCTCATCATTACATCCTTTTGTAACCATGGTGATTGGAACAGTGGGAGTTATGATGATGTTGAGCACTTTTTAAGGTACAAAAACAACTCTTTGTGCTCATTTGCATTATTTATCAAAGGGGGTGGAAACAATTATGGTGAAATTGTCATGACTGATCTCCCACGCAAAATTTAACATAAAGTCTTCATTAAAAGAGTGTAGACCAGTCATGTGTTGTAAGTCTCAACCAATACAGTGTTACTCTTCTGTCAGCTGTTATAACACACATATCATTGATATACATAAAACATAACAGTAACATATGATCTTTTACCATCATTATAGAGCCAAGGGTGGACAAAGTAAGAAGAAGCCAGCATCTACTGCATCCACTGCAAAGTAAGTCTACCGATATATGGGATTTTTATTCTGCTAATAGAATAGGATAAAATATGAGAAGTCTTTTGGAATATACGGTAAAATCTTCAGGGAAAAAGAGGGGCATCCCCCCATTTTCAGATGGAATATGCTATAAAATTCTTATAACACTCGTTATGTATTGCGTGATTGTAGTACACATGTAGATTGTTACTCCTTAAGAATCTGTTCATAAAATTAATTGCGGCTGGTGGATCCTGTATACTCAAGGGTGTGCGTTTCAAATGGTTCAGTGGCCAGCATGTCTGAGCTCTGATTTTGAACCTAATCTTTGTGGTTTCTTCATAGCCTAGTAAAGCAGTAGTGTTCATCTTTGATATCAAGTGATTAGTATAAAAGTCCTGTGTTATCACGGCAATATGCACTGATACTTAATTTATCATTACGCTGTTAATAATTTTGATCACTTTCATTAGCACATGTACATAGCGCTATGGTTGGCTCATACAAGATGAATGTCTTAGCAAGAGGGAAAATTATTACCATTTGAATTGTCCCATGGATGACTATATACAGGACTGATTTCTGTTGTTTGTGAATGATTATTTAGTATTTGTATATTGTTATTTCAGACCTCCATCTGGTACATCCAGTGGAAGAATGCCTATGGGTCAAGGGTCAGCACAGAGCAAACCCAGATAACCATGAAGAGTTACGAGCATTGATTCTATAACCTCAGGAAGGGACAGTGCAGCAGAGTGGAGACGATCACACATGAATATGAATTATTTCGTTGTTTCCTAAACCATTTGTTCAGTGATGGCATTAGATTGTTTGAACCCAATGAACTGATTGCTGTCATGGTATCTTGTTGTGGTAATTTGTGAAAGAAGCCATGTGTTGGCTATAGAACATCATTGAAGGCGGCTACTCCAGACACTATTGCAATTCAAATCCTGCAGGGGAGTATGTGCTTATGAATGTTCCTAAATGCTTACAAACTTGTCAATGGTTGTATTATTTGGCATAGCCTAAGCAGGCACCTTATTTTGCTGTGTATTTGCATTAATCAATATTTGCGATTAATCCACGACATAATTTTGTCATGTTCAATACAAATGTACACCTATATGTAATCCGTCCATACATGTACACATTTGTATAAAGATACAAATTGTATAGAATGATTGAGTGCTTTTGGAGAATCTCATTAAAAACAAACCTCTTGGCATGACCAAAACTTGGTCAGAATAAATGTCCCAGGATATGACTGGTTTTAACATGGTCACAAACAATGTTTTGATGAAGCCCTACAATGCAGCATTTACATTTACCTGTTTATTATCAAGAAATATTGTAAAATAATAATTAAATCCCTTGAGCTTTCCGGATGTACAAAATGTTTTCAACTTAAGAAAGCTCTAAAGCCGTTTTGGTTTCTTTGAAACTATTTTTTATTGTATAATAAAAGTTATATACATTGATTGCACAGTGTAGTATTTATTGAATGCAACTGATGTAATCGCAGACAAACATGTCAATTGGTAAATGAAACTTCCTTTGTATAATAACGATGTTTAAATATCTTGTGCCACGTGGGCAAGGGAACTCAATCACAAAAAAATCTACAGAAATGCTTTGTGACATTTGCTTATAATTGATGCATCTTGTTAATGTAGAAAATACAATGCCATAACTGGAGTCCTGTTAGGACTGTGGTATTACCGGTAATATAATAATTAAGACAATCTTTATGGCCCAGCATATACACACATGATGCATCTTTGTTATTACACATCCCCCGTATCAACTTGTACTGTTCACAGTTTCACCTTCTCCAGTACTGAAAAAGAAATATAAAATGAAATGTATTCAAAAGGTGTTTCCAATATTTTCAGGGAAATTGTATGTACATGCATTCCTAAAGAGGCTGTGAAGACACTTGACTTGTTGGTGGCATGCAGGGGTTCAATGCAGAGAACTATATTTCATGTTTGGTAAATCAATATGAAGTGGTGAAAAGTATACTTTACATACCTGGGCAAATTTATGGAACTGTTCTACGACAGCTGCGAACACTGCAGCAGCACTGACATCAATCAAGGTCTGCATGTACAGTACCGCCTCCTCATCACTTAAATCTAAACGGAATTTATCCTGCACCTAAGGAAAAGAACAATTGAGTACATTGTCCCATCATAAGTAAATCTTGTAAATATATGTCTTGTGAGTATTAAATGAAATTAATAGATGGAATACTATTTTGGTTCAGATATCCACACATGTATATCAGTCAGTTATCTAATCTGAAAGCTAGCCAAATTGGAAGCATGTAATACACAAATAAATATTTATAGCCAAACAGTGACAGTTCCTTATACCTAGTGACTGACGTTAGTTGTTTTTTGTGCAAATTGCAAGTGGCTGACACATAGTGCATTTTTGCCACAGAAGTCATATTCATGTTTGGGACTACATAATGCACTATCCTGGCATCAACCAGGCTCGGTCAAACACAAGCACCTGTGGACCTTCACCAAGGTTCCCCAAAAGTCGTATTCATTAGTTAATGAATCTCCGCCAGCAGAATTGGCCTTTCAATTGAGTCTGTGGCACACTCACCCAGGTTAGGGGTCGACGCATTATGGTGTTCAGCCTGAGGTAGGATTTGAACTTGGGTCTACCGATCATGAGTCCACTACCACAACCACTATGCTACCAGTGACCGGTTGTTGTACAATTGATTCTCAAAAGTACATATATAATTGATTACATACTCACCTTTTTCACAGTTTTATCCGGTTCTAAAGCAATATCAGGCACATTGGCATCCACCATCAATGAGAACAAGTTCAGTATCAAATTAGCATACCTGAAAGATAACCAGCAGAAGATATCAAATTGTTGTGAAGAGAAGAAATTTATCTCTATTATCACACACTGGATTGACTTGGTAACAAACAGGGACTATGTCATTTACAGCTTTCCTTCCAACACCCAACTGTTATTACCTGATATACCCTGCATGAGAGAGACACAATGATTGGTCAAATAATTTTACATTTTTGTGATCTTGTCAAATCTATTTCAGTTTGACTGAAAACAACTGTAATCAGATCTACTATATTTACCTTCTAAGATGTAAAAATGCGGTGTAGCAGTATTTTCTGAATTCATGATACTGTTCGCTGTTAGCACCACCCATGGCTTCAATCATTTCTTTGCTGAGTTTCATTGGTGGGGGAAGCGGTTTAGGATCACGTCCTAGTATATAGCCAAAGTCTACATGGAACAGATGACCAGCTGTAGTCAGAAGAAGATTGTCTAGATGTCTGTCGCCGACACCTAGTAGGTATGTGATAACGCAATAACCAGCTGAAAAAGAGGCAACAGGAGTTAGGGATAGACCAGTTCAAATCAAGGAGGGGAAGATTTGACACAAAAATAGGGGCAAGATATTGCATCATTAAAACATACCCACAGTCAACTTTCAAGTCATTTCCCCAAGTCTGTAATGGCCCCTTCCTTATGTTGTAACCATAATATTTTCTGTTTAAATTGAAATTCAACTTTTTCAATTTTAGCTCCATCAATGAAGTAAGACATAAAATGACTTAACTGAAGATATTACTGGGAGTCTGATGCAGCATTGTGGTTTGAAAGCACAGGATCAGGTGTTAAAATAATCTTGAATATATTCATGACTATACACTTACCGCAACTTTTAATATAAGTATCCATTACATCTGTATTGATGCCATAAGGTCCGCTATCACTTGGTGAATGCTTTCGAAAGAAATTCTGCAAAATAAAGAGCATAAATTGTTTAACTAATTTGACAACACATGCACTGACAACATACTGGTAGGCCACATGTATAGTAAACTGATACGATATCTTACTTGTATACTGCCCTCTGTTGACAAGACATCAGCTACAGCTGTTGATTCAACAAATTGCACAAATCCATGACGACTGCTGGTGGCTATTGCTTTGTATGTTGTTAACTTTAAATCTAAATTCTCCTGACGAAGCAACTGAATAATGAAATAAATAATAGATAAACTTGTATAAGTGAAAACGGAAACAGTTGAGTCCCTTTCAATAAAGTACCATTTTTGTTGATAGTGTAAAAGCATTTATTATCACTGGTATTTAATTTCACTATTGTGAGATTCAGAGTATATTCACTGGGTTTTAAATTCACAGATTTTCCATTGGAATTAATTTAGCTGAATAGACCATTTTCCGTTCACTGCGAGAATCACGCGTTATGCGTGAAATCGAACGTAACAACAGGACAAACAAAGGTCATAGCGGCATAGTCGCGTCAAACATCGCGTGGGATTCGACAAACGCAAAAGTATTTCGGGGACATTTTCATGCTTAATAATGTGCTGTCCACATTTGATGATAGGCAATTTCGATTAAGTAAGCGTATTCGGAAGCAATATTCCTCTGTCGAAGATCGGCCGGTCAATGTAAGCTGCGAAATAAAGAAATTCTAGTTCAAAATCAAATCGTTTGATTTTTGCGGCAGACGTTCGACGCGCATCTTTCATGCATCTCGCGAGATCTCGCAATTGTACGGAAAATCACCTATTAACACATCAGTAAAAATAGTAATATGAAAACGCCATGAATAATTAATACATTGACAGTGATCTAACATTCAAGTTTATACACATAAATCATATAATCTGCTTTTTTTCTGGGCTACTTTAAGATCCACAATAATGTTGGTCTTAGACCTAAACTCTGAACTAAGCAGTGTGTGAATAGGAATGATAGGAAAAGCGCCCTCTTTATATTTGTCACAATATTCCCTGTCAAGCCAGGCTAACAGCATCAATTGTTGGCAGTGTTACGTCCCAATGTCTACAATGTATGTATAGTGAATACAGTAGTAGACAAGTGCCACGACTTGACAAGCATTTCAATTTTGTTGCACTTACACAGTTAGGCCAAACTTTTTTTATTCCTTGTTTCTCGAGGCAATTTTTTTTGACGAGGGCGAAAAAAAAAAATTCTTTTTTTCCATTAGATTTGTGTGATTTTCAAAGAATTGTAAGTGAGATCATTGATCGGAGAGAAGAGAAGAAATGAAATAAAATTTTATTCCATGTTTCTCATCTGCGTTAGGCTTCGATACTTTGATCATTATACTCCCACGAAAATGCAACTTGGATTTGTTATGCGGCGGGTGGTAAAAAAAATGAAGATAAAAATAAAAAATTTTTTTTACGCTTACAAGTCGGCGAGTGCGAGAAATTACGCTGAAATAAAATTTTATTTTTATTTTATTTTCGGCTCCTGTTCATTCGGCGGGTAATAAAAGGGATAACAAGAGATAATAAAAGTCTGGCCTTAAAGTGTTCAAATAAGTCCTACACTTACAGTATCCATCAACTGTACAATTTGTAAAATAAGCTGGTCCTGTCGTAGATCATCACCATTTTTAAATATTGTTACATACTCTGAGTTCATCACAGTTTTAAATGTTAGTTTACATGGCATCAGAGCACTCTTGAATAGGGTAGATTTCTCTATCGCGATACCATTCACTTTGACATCAGGGTCAAGGGGCAGAGGTAATGGATCAAAGCTGTCAAAACTCATTTTGCATATTTCCTTGTCTGATAATAATGCTTGGAGTCTTTCAATCTGTAAAAAAATGCAGATTAAAAAAATGTTTAATTACATAATTTTCTTATCTTGGTAGCAAAACATTTCATATATTCATGCAGGTATTTCAGAAGCAAGATTTTATTTCTACTAAAAAATATGTTCATACAGTATTTCCAAAAAATTTAATTTAATATAGCCATTAGAAGAAATGATTTGAATACTCATATTAAGGTAGCGGGACTATTATTTGCATACTTGTTTTCATCTTCTAATTGTGATTAAATGACTACAAATAGACCCGGGAAAGTATATATTTTTAGAATCGCCAGACTTCAAGCTTTTCACAAGTGTATTTTGCATGCCCGTATCTGCATTCTACAACGCGTTACTCAATCAAAGGTGAAAAATTACTTTTTCTGTAAAAAAAAAAATTACGCATTTATGCTGACGATAAGAAGTATTTTTTTCACTTTTCCTAGTTGTTCAATAGTCTGGTAAATTGAATGTGTCTGGTTAGTCTTATTCAAG